AAAATTTTTGCCAAATTATATTAAAATCGGTTGAGGTTTGGGTATAGCTCCCATATACAGGGTGAGATGAAAAACCTGCAACCAACTTCAGACTGCTGTTATTTTTAAGCCACTCGTCCTACAGCTGTTAAAATTATTCCAGTGACAGCTCATTATATTGTCTACAAACGTACAAAAGCATTTTGGCGAGAAATTTCCAGATATTGAAAAATTAGCTCGGTTAAGGCCATTGAAATACCAAAAACTGCAAGAACTTACACCGCAATAGAATGAAAATAGACTCAAAAGAGCTAAAGAGTTGTTTCGATTGGCCGAAAGTGGTGAACTGCCGAATTTGGTTTTCTCCGATGAGAAAACATTCGTTGTCCAGCAGTTTATAAACAAACAAAATTATCGCGTTTACTTGCCAAAGAGGTCAGCTGAAAATGTGCACCTTCGGTTGGTCAACAGAACTCAAGCGCCGGCCATGGCGATGGTGTGGTCCGCCATAACAGCCGATGGTCGCTCGGAATAAATGCCGAATATTATCGCGAAAATATTCTTTAGGTATGCAAAAATTCCAACAGGACTCAACACCATCGCACTCAGAACTCGCCACCCAAGAATGATTACAAAATGAGGTTCCTCGCTTGATTTCCAGCGCACAATGGCCACCAAAATCTCCGGATACCAATCCGTTACACTTTTGTATCTGGAGTATTTGGGAAAGCAAGGCTGGCACTAAAAAATACCAATGTGTCGATCATCTCAAGCAAGCACTTCGCGGGGAATGGGCCAAAATACCACAGAGCAACATTCCGGCAGCATGTGACGGTTTCATTGGCCGTTTGAAGGCCATAATTCGTGCAAAAGGTGGCCAATTTGAACTATCTAACTTATTCTAAAATTTGATGCTATTCACGACAGTATTGTTATACACACACAAAGTTGGCCGAAGTCGGGTACACTCAGGAAAAAATTTAACCAGCTTGTAACTTTACCTTACCTTTTTATTGTACCATGGTCGTATTATTGTTTTTCAAATTTTGTTGAAGTTCAACCCTTGCCTATCGCTAAAAACAGTCCCTAGAGGTCAACATTTCGAAGAATCATTGATATCGAAAGGTCGAATTGGTCGAATGATCCAAATTCTCATCACAAGATTTCTTTCTATAAAAAACTGGAAATAATTAAATAAAACCAAACAACATATTCCATAATTATTATTTGTATAAAAATGTTTATTTTATTTATTGACTTTGCAAATACTCATACAAGATTAATTCACATTATTTATTCGTCACTTTTCACTTCATAATTTGTGGTATTTTTTCCTTAGAACTAAATAGTTTTCAACGTAAAAAATAAACCAAAATACAAAACTTTAAGAAGTCTTCCTTAAATGCTAAACAAACAGAAACACAAGAAATATTTATTAAATACATTTTAATATATATTAAAATAAGAAAAGTTGTTTTCTACAAAAACGTATTTTGTTAGTTTTTTATTAAATCTAATTTTTTTTGATATATAGTTGGCAGATGGTTTCACAAGCAAAAGTAAGAACTAAATTTAAAGAATTTTGAATTTGAATGGGGGATGGGGAACCATTTTATTCGAATTAAAAGTTCCAAATTTATTTCTTAGTTTCGCAGGTAAAACCGGGTAAATTCACCTTAATTTAAAAAAAATTTTTTTCATTATTGTATCCATTTTGAAGTCAAATACATCTACTAATGTATGTTTGTATGCTTATAAAATAATTGATATAAATCCCTTATACCATAGTGGGAGGGTATACATTTTCTTATCAGTCCTCGGGAGAAATTATTGTTGGTCGTTAAATATAAACAAAAAAACTTGCTGTAATTATTTTTTTTTTCTAGATTAATAAATTTTGTGTTTGATATTGGCTGTCTTCAGAGATAATCTGTGGATGGCTTAAACTCAAATTTCGCCATACTGATCATCTGTGCTTTGTAAGCTGGCTCAAGTGATTTTTTGGGCAATAAAAAAATAGAAAATTTCATTTTATGATTTTATTTTGTATTTGAATTGAGGGTAAGATTTTCTTATGTTATGATGTGATTTCATCAGCCTTGACTCGTTTTTGTTGCTTCCATAAACTTGTTGGTTATTATTTAAATTTTTAAGATTCTATATAAGGTTTATATGTGTTATAAAATTAGGATAGGTTTGTGAGCTTTTATGATTTCGTTGTTGTAATAGGCTTTGTCAATTAAATAACCCATACGATTTTAAGGATTTTAGTGCCCTTTTGTTCGTGTTTGGTGTGATGAAAAAAAATAAACATTTTACGCAACATAATTATCTGAGGCGTATATTGGAGTGAATAGGAATTTGGCAAACTCTAAGGGCTGCCCAATTTAGATCACGAACTTTGTCAAAATATTCTTCATCACCTCAAACTTCGATTTTATTCACCAATTCAATTTAAATTTTTTCAAGTGATTGGACGTGAAATCAGAGTCCAATAGTTTCACTACTTTCATCGAAAATTGCCATTGTTTGTCCACGATTTGGTATAGCCTCCATTTTGTTTTCGAATCTCATACCAAACAAGGCCTACTAATTCAATGGGAAATATTATTCGTCAGGAAATGTGAATTTTTAAAAGCATCATTCGTCTCGTCGACAGATATATAACCTTTGTTTGCATTTTTTTGGAAATCCTTGTACATTTGTGGGAGAGGTATATCCCATTTTGACACGGCATCTTAAATTGTAATAACGGATAAGCGAAGTTAAAAAAAATTGACAGAAATTTCATGTTTTTAAAAAATACTATTATTGAACATTTTTTGGGGAAAGTACCAGAAGGAGTAAAGGGATATAAATATTTTTAATAGAAACCCATAATTCGAACTCTTCCCAAAACATATTTATACCCTACAACACTATGTGTTGAGGGTATTATAAGTTTGATTGGGCCAAAAATTATGTAACACCACGAAATATTGATTTCCCACATAGGAAAGTATATATGGATCTTCCTATCTCGCCGAGCTGAGTCGATCTAGCTATGTATGTCCGTCCGTCCGTCTGTCCGTCTGTCCATGTTAATTTGTAATCACTCTACAGGTCGCAATTATGGCCCGATCTTCACGAAATTTAAAATGTAGGTGGGGTTAAGTTCAGAATAGAACCCTATTTCTTTTGGAGAGGATTGCATAATATTTAGGGGTTGAAATGGACCAAAAACTGAAAAATTTGCTGATTTTGCAGTTGCTCTACAGTTCACAATTATAGACCAATCGACGCGGAATTTCGCATGTAGCTAGAGTTTAGGGCGGGGAAGAAGCCTACCAATTTGGGTGGTCATCGGAAAATATTTAGCGGGTAAAATAGACCATATCTTTTTTGTTGAAAAAATTCAAAATTTTTCATTAAACCGCGAATATTTTAAATCGCGGCGAAATCACAAAGCCATGACAAGGTTACTCCTGATCTTTACATTGATGTTAACATCCAACAAACCGGATATATAGCAAAATAAGTGCGATATATATGTCTATCAAAGAAGATATGCTTGAAAGATCTCTTATATGTCGAGAACGGCTGAACTGATTTCGACAGTTCTCATTAATTCAGAATGGCCTCTTGGCAGGAAAGAAAAAACGTCTTAAAAAATCGCATAAAAATATCTCTATAAAGATGAAAATATTGATTTTGTAAAATTTTCTCATATTTTTTCAATTTTGTCATATTTTTGGCATATTTTCATTTTGAATTAAACATTTGGTAATATTTCTACAGCTAACAAAACTAAGTAGTTAGGATATCAGGATATCATATACAGATCGCATTTATGGCCCGATCCTTACGAAATTTTGCATGGGGATAAGATGAGGGTCAGAATAGAAGCCTATTCTTTTTGGAGATGATCGCAATATATCTAGGGGTTGAAATGGACCAAAAAACCAAAATTGTCAGCAGGTCGTAATTATCGCCCGATCCTCACGCACATTTGAATTGGGGTTACCGGACATTGCAAAAGCCAAGCAACTGCGGATGGCCATCCAAAAATATTCAATGTGTGAAGGAGTTTGCCAACTTTTGTAGACAAAATACGAAAATGTCCATTCCAGTGACTTTTTGGAGAATTCACAAATACAGGAAAGACGCACTTCTGACTATTTCGTTAACGCTGATTTCGTGGAAGAATATAGTCAAATGTCTGTATCTCAAAAAAATAAAAAGCCAATAATAAATGTTAATCTTTTGCCACTTCTAAGAGACTATGGGTCTTTGGGAAATATTGGTTCCAGATCTAGGAAGACCATTTACGTGCAACATCTACCAATAAATTTGAAATGAGCAAATTAGTTTAAGTTGCTATTATTCGAAAATTAGAGAACGAAACCTGATGGTTTTCTTTTATTATTTGTCACAATATCTTGTGGAATTCTTTCGAGTATCTCGCCTATATGAACTGTATCGTTTATTATAGTGTTGTAGGGTATTCAACGGTCGGCCCCGCTCGACTGTAGCCTTTGCTTACTTGTTTTTTTAATTTAATTAATCTTGAAATCTCTCAAAGTTCAAAAGCTGTCGAAAAAATCCAAGCCTTTTATTAAGGGATAGGAGTAGAAGATCTTTGGGCATCGGTGTTACTGTTATGTGGGGATTATACAAAATTATATCTGCTCCCAAAGTAGTTTTAATACACATTTTTAGCAAATTCGATTGGAAAATTTGGTCAAGACTCTCGAAATAGATAATATAATAAAACGTGGGCCTACACATATAATTTTTTTAAAGGATGTTTTCTTCTTTCTATAAACTCAAAATATAAAAAAAATTTCTTAATTTAAAAAAATAAAAAATCAGTAAGTTAGGCCGGGCCGAACTCTGAATACCCTCAACCATTTGGAAAGAATTAGGAAATTTTCAAAAAAATAAAATTCATTAACAATTCTGTTAAAATCTTAAAAATATGGATACGATATTGTTAACTTATATAGACAATTCTATTTCAGGGGGTAAAGTACTCACAAAGAACTAATTGTGTTGAATTTCAGACAATTCCATTGAAAAATGTGGCCAAAATCATAAAAATATGGGGGCTATACGATATCGTGGAGCTATATGGATAATTCTCTTCCAGGGGATAAAGTACTCACAAGGAACTACTTGTGTGGATTTTCAGACAATTCCATTGGAAAATGTGGCTAAAATTTTAAAAACACCTAATATCGAAGGTGACGTTATATGGGGATTGTCGATCTATATAGACAATTCTCTTTCAGGGGGTAAAGTACTCACAAGGAATTCCTTGTGTGGAATTTCAGACAATTCCATTGAAAAATGTGGCTTATATCATAAAAATACGAAATATCAGGGGTAACGTTATATGGGGGCTAAACGAAATCATGGACCGATATGGCCCATCTTCGATCTTGACCTGCCTGCAGGCAAAAGACAGACTTGTGCAAAGTCGAAGCTTCCTACCTTAATTAGTTTTGACTGTAGCGTGATTACAACAGACGGACGGACGGACAGGGCTAAATCGTCTTCGAACTTGACCTGCCTGCAGGCAAAAGACAGACTTGTGCAAAGTCGAAGCTTCCTACCTTAATTAGTTTTGACTGTAGCGTGATTACAACAGTGGACGGACAGGGCTAAATCGTCTTAGAATTTCATGCTGATCAAGAATATATATACTTGGTTGGGTCTAAAATTATTATTTCGATGAGTTACAAACGGAATGACGAACTTAATATATCCTCCATACTATGAATGGTGGAGCGTATAAAAATACTTGAAATCGTGATACACCCTTAAATAGGGCTGTACCAAAACGTAAGCCGACATAACCCATATTTTGTACAAATGATACATGTAACCCATACGACCGTATCAAATTGAAAACTTTATCATAAATTTTGGGAAGCGTGCATGACCCATATTTTGTACAAATGATACATGTAACCCATACGACCGTATCATATTTAAAACTTTATCATAAATTTTGAGAAGCGTATAGCAACATACTTGAGGCCCTTTGTGTATTGTAAGGGATAAATTTAGTGGTTCCTTAAAGTGTTTGGCATGGGAACCGAAAACTATTCACTAAGAATTTACCAACCCCTGGATTGCTGTTTCACAATGTCATTACACGCTATTACGCATGGTCCTCCGTATAACAGTACTAGCGATTTAAGAATCTTGAAAGTTGCGGAAGTATTTTCAGAGGGTATGAATCCTTTTCTTTCCTCCTTATGTTCAATTCGCTCTGCCATTTTGTGTAATCCACATATTGCAGTAACTATTTATATTCGATATTTTACTGATTGCAGCCTATGTTATCCTATTATGCCAAGATACCATTCGAAATAGTGTGAATTGTTAAAATTAGGCAGGCGTTCTTGAGGCATAAATTCATTTTATAATCTGTTGCCAAAATTAATTGTTAATAAGTCTAAAATCTAATTAGATTAACTTTGATTGGGAAGTAAAAGTCGATTTTCGATTTTAAATTTTTTTACTGAAGACAAAAATCTTTTAATTTTGAAAGTTGAATTTTGTTCTCGTCTCTGTATCCCTTATTTAGAAAATTTTTATCCGTAGATCAATACATATTCTATAAAAATGTAAAAGCTCCTTTATTAAAAGATTTTTAAGATAAGATTTCGAAATTTTCTTCAAGAAATTTTGTGAAAGGTTTAAATATGTTCTTTCAAATCTATAGATCATATTTAAGATAAGATTTTTTGGTAAGATTTCCTAATTTCCTTCAAGAGATTTCGTGAAAGTTTTTAATGTTTTCTTTCAAATCTATAGATCCCATTTAAGGAAAGACTACAGAAGTCTACAATATCCTCTGCTGCTGTTCTATAAATTTCCATCACACCAAATGAAAGCCCGTTTTCTTGATTTTATGGCTTCTAAAATTTGTTACAACTTTATGTGTTCTCTTCAGGATTCCAATATTTAATATTTTCAAGTTGTGGTCCTCCCTGTGTCTGTGTAATTGTGTGTGTTCAGTATTTTATTCCCTAACGTAAAAATACTTAAGTAACTACTTGCATTTCGTTTATTTTGTGGTTTGTTTCCTTAGGCTTAGGATTAGACTTTTTGTATGTAGGCGAATGTTTGTTGTTCCTCGGCTTTACTTCCTCCCGAACTGTTTACGATACAATATTTTTATAGTAGGATGGTTTCTTTTGATTCTCTTTGATGACATAGAATCCCTTCGGTTTGCCATTACCCGAAAAGTATTTATTGAAGCTATTCTTGTTGACGGTATTGGCCGGGGCATAGTACGAGGGCGATTTGCGTTTTAGGGACTTTTTATAGCTCATCATTGAGTCGTGATGATGGTGATGATAAGACTTCTCGATCGACTCATTCTCCCACGGTTTGGACCAGGTGGGTATGTTGTGGATATCAATCAATTGCTGGACTTTATGTGGCTCCACATTGGCCACACTGGGAAAACGCTGTTGTTTCTCTTCGAGTATTTTCTTAATTACCGGCAAATTCCAGTGGTAGATGCGTCCGGGTTTACCATTCGAATTGAAGGGGAAGGAGACCTAAAAAGAAAACCAAAAATCAACTTAGATCATATAAATAAAACAAAGTCAACAACGATTCATGAAAAAAGAGAGAAGAGAGATTTTTGGAAATGAATATTTTGTCCAAATGGTATGTCTGAATAAGTGCAGGCATGATAATATTGTTGCCATTTACATGATGTTTAAAATTTATTATGTTCGAGTTCAAATGCTAATTAGCAACATATTTTATTGTTGTTGTTGCTACTGATGTTGTTTTTAATTTCCCCTTAAGCTTTCGTTGCACAATCACAAATGCCACCACCATCATTATCATCATCTGCAAACAAGGATATAGCAATCACTTGCGGCATTTGTGTGCGCATCATACGCTTGAATGCATTCCTTCCCCCAGTCACCTCCCCTCTCTATAAATGACCAGAATAAATGCTGCTGCATTTTTTTTCAATTTTGGCATATTGACGCAGTGGTGTTACAAATTTTAATTAAAGCTGTCCAATGATAAACATCAAAACAGCATTCATTGGAATTTATGGGGACACCAATCGAAGCTACCAAACGTCATTTGTTGTGACTTATTTTGTGCACATGCTTCAACAGCCAATGGTAGTTATCTTGAATTTTGATTTTACAACAACTGGACCAATATCGATCATCTGAAGTCAATTACAAGTTGGCGAATACATTTTGCAGATAACAGTAAGGGAAATTAATTGAAGCTAAATTTAGAAGAGGAGGAAGAATAAAGTGAAGAATGATAAATGAGGCACATTTTGACCATATCAAAGGTAAATATAAAAAGGTGAAATAAAAATCTGCAACAAAGGCAAATGCCATAATGTTTACATTTTTTTAATTTTATTGAATGAAAGCCATTTCGAATAAGTTTAGATTTGTTCGAATTGGTCAACTTTGGCACAAATTATGGCCTTCAAACGGCCAATGAAAACGTCACAAGCTGCCCGAATGTTGCTCTGCGGTATTTTGGCCTATTCCCGGCGAAGCGCTTGGCTGAGTTGATCGACATTATGGTATTTTTTAGTGCCAACCTTGCTTTCCAAAATACTCCAGACACAATAGTCCAACGGATTGGTATCCGGAGATTTTGGTGGTCATTGTGCGCTGGAATTGAAGCGAGGAATCTCATTTTGTAACCATTCGTGGGTGGCGCGTCCCGAGTGCGATGGTGCTGATTCCTGTTGGAATGTCCAAGGTGTGCGGCCAAAATGTTTGCGTGCCTAGAATATTTTCGCGTTAATATTCAGCATTTATTCTGATGCCACGGTCGATTAATACGAGTCGAGAGCGACCATCGGCTGTTGTGGCGGCCCTCACCATCACCATGGTCGGCGCTTAAGTTCTGGTGCTCAACCGAAGGTGCACATTTTCAGCTAACCTCTTTGGCAAGTAAACACGAGCATTTTGTTTGTTTACAAACTGCTGGACAACGAATGTTTTCTTATCGGAGAAAACCAAATTCGGCAGTTCACCACTTTCGCTCAAGCAAAGCAACTCTTTAGCTCTTTTGAGTCTACTTTCTTTCTGTTGCGGTGTAAGTTCTTGCACTTTTTGGAATTTCAATGGCTTTACCCCGAGCTCGTTTTTCAATATTTGCCGAATGGAATATTGTGATATGTTCAGCTCATGAGCCATTTTTCGGCTACTGCGACGCGGGTTTCGATCAAATCGATTCTTTACTTTTCGAACCATTTCTACTGATGTTGCTGTTTTCTTCCGTCCACTTTCTTGACGTCGGGCTACGCTAGCAGTATTACGGTAACGAGCGATGATAGAAGACACAAAAGATTTATTCTCATTTAAATGCTGGATTGCTCTAACGGTGGTGGTTTTCCAGCCAAATATAAAGAAATCACACTATCACGCTTAAAATCCACCAGGAATAACTTTTTTTTTTGAAAATTCGCACCAAAATGCTTTTGTACGATTGTAAACAATATAGTGAGCTATCAGTGGAATAATTTTAACAGCTATCGGACGAATGGTTTGGAAATGAAGTTGGTTGCAGTTTTTTCATCTCACCATGTAGTCCTAATCCCAAGAATCATTGGTCTAGGGTCTTCGCCATATTTTCCAATAGATATGGTTTGTTTTCTTTTCTTTTTCGTAATAGATTTCTATTTTCAGCTCTAATTTAATAATCTTATGCATTTGTATGTTTTTGGTCAATTTTATCTGTGATATAATGGCATGCAGGCTAACGAGACAATTCTTGCCAAATGAAAACGTAACAGAAGCTTGAAATGTCATTACGCCATCTATTGGAAGAATTGAAACCTTATTTATTTTTTTCAACATAAATATCAAAAACTCATATAAGACGCGATTTATTGACATACTAGCTGAACCCGGTGCGCTTCGCTACCCCTTTTGATTTTATATGCATTCAAAATTTTATTTACGAATATATCTATATATATATATAAATGTAAGTTGTGTTAGTTACTACGCTTATAACTTAAGAACCGCTGGACTGATTTTAACGATTCACACAAATTCGGAGTTGTCTCCTCTCCGAAAAGGATAATATCCAAAAAAATCGCGTAAAAATGTGATATATTAACATTTTCATTGTGACTTTTCAAATGTACAATAGTAATGTTTTATTTTGCATGATTTTTTTCCATTTTGACTTACTTTTTTCTAACGTACATTTGTAGTGTTTTTATATTTTATTTTTGAATTCGAATATTAATACCAATTTATTTAATTGACTTGATTTCTTGAGAACTGAAATTGATGGCGGGTTACATGGAAGTGTAGTACCGAATTATGTGGTGGCGAACGGAATAGATGATATTGAAATAATTGAACGCGGTCACACCAAAGTTAAAAGATAATTACTTTTTAAAAATCGCTAAAAAAATCATGAAAAAGAGATCTCATTGCAAAAATTCTCAAATCTGGAAAAAATCAAAAAAATTTTCAATGGAATCGAATTTTAAAGTAATAGTATATTCTATTGACAAACTTTGTAAGGATCTTTAAACATTTGCTGTAAAAATCAGCGAACAAGTTGAAGATTTTTTCAATTTGTTATTCTATTTTTGTCATTTTTTTTTTCAATTTGTATTATCATATTGAATTCAGTGGGTTTTTTGCGAACAAAATAAAGAATAATTTTTCACTAAAAAAATGAAATAAGTGCGAAATAGAATGTTAACTGACATCTATCCTTTCAACTCCAGGGCCTACATCGTGGTTCAGCTGGAAGATGCGAACACATTTAAACAAACAAAAATGACCGAAAAAGCTTAATGGGGCTCATTTCAAAGCGTGACAATGATCCGTCCAATGAGAGCTCAAAATGCAAAATTCTTTGGGAGAATAATCAGTAAAATACCAAATATAAAAGGTGCAAAATAGTAGAGCGAATGGGACTTTTAGTAAAAAAAGGTTTTATATCCTTCCAGAAATTCTTCCCAAACATTCAAAAAACTAAAATCACTTTTGCAGGTCTTTATATCGATATTAACTCACGGATAAGGGAATAACCCGATTTCATATTTATATAACCATCTATGATTTAAGCTATTTTTGGGGTCTTGGCCACTTTTTTCATTTTTTGGCCCTTATTTGACATTTTTTTTCCAAGGGGGTAGAGAACCTCTTCGCATAAAATTTGAAATTTTCACATTGGAGTATCCCCAAGTCCTCTTTCACATCTAATGTGTGGTCAGAAAAGAAAATTTTGTATTCTATTGAATTTGTAACCCCCAAGAGAATATTGGTTGGGAACGTAGATTTGGGATGTGCATCTATATGAAATAAATTGTGGAAACATGAACAAATTACTAATATAAGAAAGTAGCACGGGACCGAATATTTGTTGAATCATCATTGAATTATAGAGTAGAAGAAAGTTTTTAATGTATGTCGATGTTTCGGAGTAGTGCCCATATAAAGAAGGTACTTCCTAATTTAACCATATTTCAAAGAATTTGGCTAATAATGTGTATTAGGGGGGTGAAAACCTTACACTAAAATTTCGACATATCTACAAATTTTAGAATTTTCTCCATGTAATAATACCCTCTTAAGTCAACCTTTTGGCGGACAAACAGACCGACATGGTTAGGGCGACTTATGAGGACTCTAATGCACAATCTAAGGTGCTAATGGGTTTAAAAAAGTAATTAACTTTGGCTATTCTTAAATCATTCAGCCCTCAATTATGTAGTATACAAATTACGGTAAATTCCAAAGAAAGATTGAAAGATTTTGCTACGATTTTTACCATATTAAAAATTAATTTGATCCCTTATATGGCGATAAGTTTGATATATACTTTTTAATAGATTTGTATAGCACATCCACACAAATGGGTACAGGTATTTTAAAACACTTTAAATCGACATGTACGTGAACACTTATATCAGTCATATCTGTGAATAATTATGCTTGGGAAAATATGCATAATAGACAAAAACTACGGGCCGGCAACGCGGACCGGGCCAGCTAGTGTTGGATAAAGAAAAACAAATTTAAAAATTAAAAAAAAATATATTGCACTAATTTAATGCGTTAATAAACAAAATCATTTCATATTTTATATGCACCAAACACGATATATATGACCGATTCCAATGAAATTCAGAATGTGTGGTGGAATTTGGTTATAATAATAAATGTGATAAATTAATTGGAAATTAATGAAGATTTGGATATAGCTCCCATATATATATTCTCGGCCGATTTCACATATTTGACGCAAATATGTGCGGTCATATATATCGTGTTTGGTGCATAATATGTATGAAATCGACCTCAATTGATTTCAATATAATTTGGCAATTTTTTCTGGTGCCAGATTTTGTCTCTCTCGCTTTGGGTGCAGCAAATATGTGAAATCGGCTGAGTATATATATGGGAGCTTTAATCACATCTGAGCGTATTTAAATATAATTTGTCAAATTTATTTTTGTACCAAATTTAGCCACTCATGCCGAATTTCTTTGGAATCGGAAATACGTATCGTGTTTTGTGCATCAAATATGTGA